CTTTCTGATGCTGTTGTGGAAGCCGGCGAACACCTTTCCCTCCGCGTAAACAGCAAGAAAACAAAATGCATAGTAGTTTCGAAGTCAGAGGTCCCACCAACTTGTCCAATGAAACAATAAGTAGAAATCCAACAAGTCTCCTTCAATTATTTAGAAGTTTTTTGTCACCCAGGTGCTCGTTGCAAGAGGGAAATCAGACGCAGAACCGGGCTAGCGAAAGATGCATTCTCCAAACTCCGGAACATCCTCACAGACCGCAAGCTCTCAATGTAAATAAAAATCAGACTCGTTTAAAACCTTTGTATGGTCAACTCTCCTATATGGTTGCGAGTCCTGGCCACTGGCGGTCGAACCTCGGCGCAACATAGAGGCAACAGAAGTGTAGTTCAACCTCAGGATGTTGCACACCCCTTGCACCGACCGAGTGTCCAACGAGATCCTCAGACGAGTCGGACAGGGACACGAGCTTCTAGAATTGATCTGAGAACGACAACTTAAATTCCTCAAACATGCAATCCGTAAAGGCATATTAGAAGACCCTTGCCTACTATTCAATATTAATGCACATAGTTTTATATTTCTTTTAAATTACAAATTACATTTTTCATCAAATTTCATCAATGCATCAAATTACATTTTTCTTGTATAAGCAGATTCTGATGATGGACACAGGTGTTGATGTCCGAGGGCTAAATGCATGAATATGCGAATGATGTGGTTCCATACTGCCCTGGTTCAACTGTTTGCGTGTGTGTGTATATATGTGTGTGTGTGTGTGTGTGTGTGTGTGTGTGTGTGTGTGTGTGTGTGTGTGTGTGTGTGTGTGTGTGTGTGTGTGTGTGTGTGTGTGTGTGTGCACGGTATATTTTACACAGATTTCTCCTCTTTGTCTCTCTCTGTCTCACTCTTTCCTTCTCCTCTCTCCTCTTCCATTCCCTTCCCTTCCCTCTTCAACTTCCTTCGTCCTCCCTCTCCCCTCCTCCTCCCCTACCACTCCTCGTACCCCCTTCCAACCCCTCTCTCTCCCCTCTCTCCCCTCCACCTTTCTTTCAACGAAGCCACAGCAGAATCTTAGAACACCGATGTTCGTGTTGGCGACGACTTCGGCGAGGATTAAGCATTAAGCCCAAGTTATGCATGAACAAATTCCTTGCTCCGTCGTTGCATTTTGAGGCGCTTTGGTGCCGTGAGGATAATGAGGACACGGGGATTGTCCCTTTCGACACGGGGTTAATGGAGTGATCGCTTGTCCTCCCGCCCGGGGATCAGCTGATTCTGGGTGGTAGAAAATGGGAATTGGGAGAGGGTGTGTGAGGGGGGGTCCATAATTTTTTCGTTTATTTTTTTATTTATTGGTTGTTTATTTATTTGATATTGTTGTGTGGTTTTATTTTCGGGATTTTGTTTAATTATAATAATTTCTTGTACAATTGTGTCCTAGGGTCGTATTTAAACTGTTCTTATGAATTTAAAATGAGCTACGTTATTCATGCTTACTGATCAATGTTTATTACTAATTAATTCATCTTTAATTTCGAAATAAGTCAGCACGTGTACATTCGCGCTAAATCCATGCACGCCGTACAATACTGACACGTGGACAAACAACAATCAATTAATCAATGAAAATATCGCCTCAAAAATCACGGAAGATCAAATCGGAAGGGAAGTCAGGTCATGGGCGCAGTCACATGAAAGTCAGGTCACCTAATGACCCCTAGGAAAGGGTTATTCCTGGCTTGGGAGGACATCCGCTGGGTCAGTGTGCGGTTCGGTGTCACGGGAAATGTCAGGAGCGGAACAGGCGAGATAAAATAGGCATGGAAGAGATTTGTGGAATCGTAACTCGTAAAGTTGTCTGTACAGTGTTCTCTCTATCTTTCTCTCTCTTTCTCTCTCTCTCTCTCTCTCTCTCTCTCTCTCTCTCTCTCTCTCTATATATATATATATATATATATATATATATATATATATATATATATATGTATATATATATATATATATATATATATATATATATATATATATATACACAAACACACACACACATATATGTATACATATATACATATATATATATATACATATACATATATATATATGTATATATATATATATATATATATATATATATATACACAAACACACACACATATATGTATACATATATACATATATATATATATATATACATATACATATATATATATATATATATATATATATATATATATATATATATATATATATATATGTGACACAAACACAGTAACGTGTACGCAAAGATGAAAGGAAAACTACGTCATTTATTACTGTGGCAGTTTTCCTTTCATACATATATATATCCCTTCTCTCTCTCTCTTTCTCTCTCTCTCTCTCTCTCTCTCTCTCTCTCTCTTTATATATATATATATATATATATATATACATTTTTGCGTTTTGCAGTTTTGCGTCAAGAACTCGTTAAATATACATATTAAAGAAACGAATTGAAGCCATGATAAGTAATCAACAATTCGCAACTTGATTAAAGGAAAGGAAATTTGAATAAAAATATTACTATGTGTGTGGTCTTTTTTTTACATATTAATCTACCCTAATCTATTTCCATTATATTTTAACATCTGCGTTCCATACATTACAAAAGTCACTTACAAAACATATGTGCTTTTTATAAAACGTCACGTAGAGAAGTTTATTTTTACACTCGGCATCAACAGGATTTTAGGGAATTATAACCGAAACAAATAATCTCACGAGGCTTTCGTAACTCAGCCTTGTTGCAATGAGACAAGTCAACAACGTGCTTTCGCAACAGGAGGAATTGTTTTAGAAATTTTTAAATCCTCGCCCGCTGACTGGGGTTATATCGGCTTAGTGTCTAGAAATATTGCATCAGCTGGAAAACAATGCAGGTGTATAAGCGTATACAGTGACACTTGTATGTGCGTGCGCGCGCGTGTGTGTGTGTATGTTTTTTTTTCTTTCTTTTTTTTACGATTTACATCTGTTTGAACACCTGTACATGTACAAATGCACTCCCATGAACACCTGGACGAATCGCCTCGCGGAATACCCGAGACCGGAGCACTGTACCGAAACCCTTTCCGAACCATCGCACTCGCATACAAAGACGATTCTTTTCTAATTATATAAACGACTGCTTCAGCTCCCTTGTCGCCGGGTCTCGGATGCCAAAGGATGTATCTCTTGGCGGGGACGTTGGAGCTCAGGGTTACCGAAAGCTTAGAATTTAGCGGGAACAGAAGGGAGGAGGGTGGGAGGGGGAGGAAGAGGGAGGAGGGACGGGTGGCGGAGGAAGGAAGAGGGAGGGAGGGAGGATGGGAGGGGAAAGAGGGAGGGAGGGAGGAAGGAAGAGGGAGGAGGGAGAGAGGAAGGAAGAGGGACGGGGGAAGGGAGGGAGGAAGAAAGAGGGACAGGGGGAGGGATGAAGGAAGAGAGAGGAGGACGGGGGGAGGGAGGTGGAAGGGGGAGGAAGAGAAAGGAGAGACAGGGAGAGACGGAGAAGGGGCAGGGAAGAGGGAGGCGGGGAGGGGGAGGGAAGAGGGGAGGGGGAGGGAAGAAGGACGGGGGGAGGGAGGAAGGAAGGAAGAGGGACGGGGGAGGGAGGAAGGAAGAGGGCGAGGGACGGAGAATAGGGAGGAGAGACGGGGGGAGGGAGAAGGGAAGGAAGAGAAAGGATGTGGAAGGAGGGAGAAAGAGGGAGAACGTGAAGGGAGGAGGAGGGAGGATATGGAGAGAGTAAAAGAGGGGAGGAAAAGAGCAAGGGGAAGATGGAGAGAGGAGGAAGGTGACGGAGGAGAGAGAATGAAGGAGGAGGAAGGACTAGGTAAGAGGAGGGAAATACAAGGAAAAAGAGAATGAGGAAAGACGGAAAAAGGGAAAAATTATAGGAAGAAAAGGGAGTTGGAGAAGACACGAGGGACGAAGCAAGAAGAAATGTAGAGGTGAACGATACAATATGAACAGCCAGAGTGAATGAACAAGAATTTTCGTAGTCAACACAACGTCACAAATATGGGATTGAATGAAATAACGAGAAATGCGAAACGGAGTGAAATAAACTGAAACAATATGAAATGTTAAAGCAAATGAAGGAAGAAAAGGTTGAAGTCAAATGAAATGATAAGAAAAGAACGAAAAATAACTCAATGTTTCGAGTCTTACTAAAACCTCTTCAGACGGAAAACCAAGAGATGAATATATTTTTGTTTTTATTGCATTAAAAAAAATCTCAATTACATTATTTCCATTGGCTTTATTCTTGTCTAATTTGCATAATCTATATAATCTATATTTTATTATATTTTATTCTTGATTAGTTTAGATAGATAGATAGATATAGATAGATAGGAAGATATAGATATAGATTGATAGATAGATATAGATATAGATATGCAGATATATAGATATATATATTCATATTATCTACTTCATAAATCTGATTTCCACTATCACTCTCTATTTTCCATAATTATTAGATCTAACTCACCTATCTAATGTGTAATTTTTCATCAATCATTTCATTTCATTATTATCTAATCGAATGAAATTACCCCCCCCCCCCCACTTCTTATGATTATCTTCTATACTATTACTGTCCTAGCTTTTATTCACTGCTTCTATTTTGTTTTTGATGAGGTATCTTCGAGGTATTTTGTAGATCTAGAAATTTAATCATTTACGTATTTATTTTTGTGTCTGTCTCTACCCCTATTTTTTCTCTTTTTTTCCTTTTTTTTCATTTTTTTTATTTTTATTTTATTTTATTTTTTTTTAGTTTTTCAGTGTTTCCGTTAAGTTTCTATCTCTTTATCTCTTTTTCGCTAATATCTTTTGAGGCTGTCAGTCTATCAGTATTTTTCAAGCGCGTCTATCTAGTCTATCTATCTATCTATTAACTTATTACTGATCTATTCATTTCTTTACTAATCCATCTATCGTACGTTCGTCTGTTCTGTCTATCAGTTAAACTACGCCATTCCAGTCACGATTAATAAGAGTTGCCAGTTAGCAGGGAAAAAAATATTATGTTCAGTTATTGTCTCTGTCGTTAACGTTATGTTATTTGTATTATTTTGTTAAGATTTCTTTCTCCCATTCTGTCTTCGTCTGTCTGTTAGTCTGCCTGTCTATCTGTCTGCCTGTCTATGTGTCTGCCTGTTTATTTGTCTGCCTGTCTGTCTGTCTGCC